ACAGTTTCAAGTATACAAAATAGAATTCAAATACCCTAAGTAAGCATCAATTCTCAAGCTACAAGTAATCCATGATTAACAACTTGAAATTAAATGCGAAATCAAATAGTGGAAAGACTAGGATCCTTGGCTGCAGACCAATCAAGTTATTCCGGGTTACTAGCCCGCAAGGTACTACCTAGTGCGCACGTGTATAAGTTATTCCGGGTAATTACGACCCATAAGGTACTACCTACTGCGCACTTTATATGACTTAGGTTACTCACGAATCCGTACTAGGGCCAGACCCTAGCCATCACATGAACATGATCCTTATAAGCCTCCAAAAATAATAAGTTCAAAACTTATGCAAAATCAATAAGTTAAACCAAACTTATACATTTTAAATAATGTCTAGGAATCAATTTACATGCACAAGTAAGGTTGAATCAACACAAACCATGTCCTAAAATTCAAGTCTAGATAGCATGTGACGTGTCAAGTCTCCATTATGCAATTTATACACAAGGCAAGAATATTTTACAACAATTGAACTACATTACCATCCTAAGCCACAAGTACTAAATAAGCTACAATTTAGTAACAAGCTCTTAAGGTAAGCAATTGTAATATTCTAACAAGCTATATACCTACACAAGATATATTTAAACGAGCTATTCAAGACAATGATATCACCTATCATGTTAAGTCAAATTACCATCTTTAGAGGCTACAAGTACTAATTCTACAACAAGTTAGTAGCATGCTCACAAGGTAATTAAATGGATTACATTTCAAGGAATTATCAACCTATTACGTCCGATATCAATTCAAGTGACTAACACACTTAAAACAAAATTAATTAAGCTAATTAATTAATTAATTTTTCTCTAGATTTTCAAACATATCCAAATATCCTCAATTTAACATATGTTAAAGAACTCATCAAGGCCTACTTTAATATCACATTACAAGTTGATTTCATGCTTGATACAACTATGTGAATTAATCTTTTACAAAAGATAAATATTAAATAAGTTTTGCAATTCTTATTCAAATGACCCAAATTTAATATATGTTACACAACTCACCAAGGCCTAATTTCCTAGCATGCCACAATTTAATTCTAAACTATATACCATCATTTGAATTAAATCCTAAACAAAGAAAATAAATAAATTAAATTCTAAAAACTTGAACAAGGCATGCTCACAAGTTGTATAGGCTTATAAAACAATCAATACAACAATAATATAAACCTAAAACATCCCCTACCTCAATTTGAGATAAAAATCTCAAAAGCCCACCGAAAAAAAGGTGCTCCGAATCCGACGATACCGAAGGGTTTTGTCGGGGACAACACGATCTACATGAATCCACAAGAAGTCCTATCAAAATCAAAACTTGACGTCAAACCCGAACTCAAAATTTGGTCAGAAATGGGTTCTAATAAGGGAGAAAGGTAGAGCACGACGGGGGGAACGATAAACGTTAAGGCCGAAGAGTTTCCACTAAGGAAATCAAGTGGAGGAGAAGAAAGAATGAAGGCAGCCCCTTGGGCTCCCATGGCTGCCGGCCAAGAGGGTGAAGAAGATGATGGAAATCTGACTTTTTGACTTAAGACCCCCTTTTATAGAAAATCTCAAAAAGTGCCCCGAAAGGGTCCTACCAGGTTCGGAAAAGTGAATTTTGAGCAGACGCGCTCAAACGGAAAAATTCTATAAACAAAAAAGATTCAAAATGATAAAATATGAACAACGGAAGAAACGGCGTCAAAAATTGAGTCCCGAGCAGAGAGATATGCCCTAAACAAGTTCGGCGGTAATTGGGTCCAAAAACCCTAAAACTGGATAAAAATAACTAGAAGGAAATTCTATGAGTACACGACTCAACGAAATGTGAAAATAAATCCCGTACAAGGATCCAGGCTCCAGACGAGATATTTTGTAATAACTTTCGTTAATTGCACAATGGCCCCTCCAAAAAGGGTTAACTGCAAAACTGCCCCAAAACGAAAATATCTTCCAAAAGATATTTTCTTAGATGCCCCTAAAATAAAATATCTTCAAAATATATTTATGAAAAACACCTCAAGAAAAGAAAAAGATTCTGAAAAACTGTGCATCCATGCCCCTATGGACACCGGGAGCAACCAGAGTACTTTACTGCAATAGTAAGGATACGTATTTCGTGGAAATCACTTAGAATGAAGATACATGAAGTCAAAAACCAACTCCGAACACAAGGAGTGAGGTTATGCCAACAAAGTGACAAAAGGGGAAAAGACAAAATAGGGAAAAGGACAAAATAGGGAAAAGGACGAAAAGTGAATAGTGTCGAGAAACGAAAAATGTGGAAATGACTCAGTCCTCAAAGGAAGTTGTCAATCCAAAGGAAAGAGTCTCGGAAACCATTTCCGAGCACTCGAGATGACACTAAGCGACGAGAAACCAAATTCAGACAAGAAATTTCAACGAAAAAAATTCATCCGTGAAATTCTGAGGAAAAGGAAAAGGAAGGAGATGACCGGGTCATTACAGATAGGTGGACAATCTACTCTTGTTCCTTGGTGTTCCATACTTATGAATGCATTTGGTGTAAGTTTCTAGATAGTTGTGTGTGCATAAATTGTGGTTTCATTGAATGGATTTTGGTCTCATTTGATAGGTTGTGCTTCCATTTGATTTGGCTTGACAACCTATACTTATTTGCCATCCATGCCTAGTTTCAATTAATGTCACACACACACACAAGTTACAAGTCAATTTCCCCATTAATATACAATTATTAGTGTCTAGTGAAGTCAAGCTTAGTGGTGAGCTCTACTACCCCAAGTCCTCCCCTCTATATCTTTCTGTACTTTATTAATCATTGAACTTTATTTACTTCAATTTCATTTGCATAATAGCTTAATCAATCAATCTAACCAATCTTTGATCACTCGACCTACTAACCCTATGCATTGTTTCCATTACAACGGTACCCACAAATCCCTTGGGACGATCCCTACTCACCCTAGCTATATTTTTAGTTAGAAGTAGTGGTGGCTTTTACAAATTTAAAACTTGGCTACATTGCACACTCACACTCTTAGTTCAACATCTTTTGCAAACTTTTGGTGCAACCGACGGCTACATATGATTACAAAATAAAAAATAATAATAAATCAAGATAATAATTTTATTTTTGGAATAAATTTGCATCATTTTTTTATTCTTTACTGATCACTTTCTTGATTTTGTAATTACAGTTATACACTTTTGTTGTTTCACGTATTATCATATACGCCACCATCCTCTCGAATACCTCTTGGCCTCAATTAGAAGGGAATTTTGCTCCCACTCCATATAAAGCACCTGGCACTGCAAATAGGGATCATGTGCATGCAGAAGGGCAAATCCTTTACTCACACTTCACCCAGTAGCCACTCGTATTACAGATAAGGACTGAGTGGGAAAGATGAAATAAGCCTATGTGAGTAACCAAGGATAGTTGTTACAAGAACCCTACTTATCTATAACATTTACACAGGAACTACACCGGTGACTTAGGAAATAGGAAGTCAACTCATCTTCTTTGCTAGAAGACAGCAATTCTGCATCCACAGTGCCTCAAGAAAACAATCACTATTGTCTGAAGGGCATTGACTGGCATTAAAACTATTTAAGCGAACCTTCATATTGCCAAAAGATAAGTCTATGATGTTAGTCCAACAATTTATGCATGCATTTGTTGTCGCAAGGAAAGGAAGACCAAGGATCATTAGAATGTGCCTCCTTGGTTCTAGAACTGGCTCAATATCTAGCACAATAAAGTCTACCGGGAAGTAGAATTTATCTAATTTGATGATCACATCCTTGATGATCCCACGAGGCTGTTTGGTTGACCTATTTGCCAATTGGAGAATAAGTGAGGTAGACTTCAATTCTCCTAAGCCAAGTTGCAAATAAACCGAATAAAGAAGAAGGTTTATACTTGCACCCAAATCTAGAAAGGCTCCCTCCACTTGATGATTCCCTATTGTGTAAGAAATTGTTGGAGCGCCCGGATTTTTGAATTTTGGAGTAGTGCAGTGCTGGATTATGGAACTAACTTACTCAGTTAGTAGCACTTTCTTAGGAACATGGCTATTTGAATGACTTTTCTGAGTACACATATCTTTCAAAAATTTGGTGTAAGCTGGAATTTGCTGAATTGTATCAAGCAATGGGAGATTAATCTTCACCTACTTGAATATCTCCATTATGTCCTGAAGTTTATTCGATTATTTTGCCATCTTTGATGTTTCTTGTAGTTTCTGAAGGAATGGCACAACTGCATGCCTTTGCTCAGGAAATGGCTCAGTAGTTGGAGGTGCTTTTTGTGCTTCTTCTTTACGCTCATTCTTTTCTTCAAGTCTTTTTTTCCAATTTTCATCCTTTTTTGCTTTCTCTTCTTCCACCTTGTTTTCAACTCTCTTACCACTTCTTAAAGTAGTAATTGCTTGCACTTGTGCATGGTGAACCTCTTAGCCAGTAATGTTATCAATTATGGCTTTCACCAGCGCTCAAAAATGCTGGTGAAAGCCTTAAAAAGTGCTAGTTATTCAATTATCAGCGCTTTTGAGAAAGCGCTGGTAAATCCAGCGTCGATAAGGCTTTACCAATGCTTTTTCAGAAACACTGGTAAATACCCTATACCAGCGCTTCTTCAAAAGTGCTGGTAAATATCCTTTACCAACGCTTTTTCAAAAGCGCTGGCATAGGGTATTTACTAGCGCTTTTTGAAAAAGCGCTGGTCTCAAAAAATGCTGGTAGAGGGGTCATTTTAATTTTTTTCCACCTATGCCAGCGCTTTTTGAAAAAGCGTGGGTAGAGTGGTCATTTTAATTTTTTTATTTTTTTTATTTTTTTCCCCCCTATGCCAGCGCTTTTTGAAAAAGCGCTAGTAAAGGGGTCATTTTTATTTTTTTCCCCCTATGCCAGCGCTTCATAAAGGGTCATTATATATATATATATATATATATATATATATATATATATATATATATATTTTTTCTTATTGTTTTTGGGAAAAAATTTCTTTACAACTACTAAATGTCATCCAATATAACACAAGTCAATTTAAAAATACCATCCAAATTGTTTTTACATTATACAACCATAAGTTAACCTGCTGCCAATATGAAAAATACCATCGAAATTGGCTACTAATAGATAAAGCTGGTAAATGTCAACCAAAAAGCCAAAATGTATACTAATACAACCACAAGTTAACTTGCCAATATGAGAATACCATCCAAATTGTCTAGATAAAGCTACTAAATGTCACATAAAAAGAATTAAATTTTTTTGACAAATGTAATACAAGTTTTTCAAAAAGAACCCATCCAAGGCAAAGGAAATTCAGAAAGCACAACCATGACCCCATCTTCAGCTTCAACTTCAACAAGTCTTCTTGCCCATTTGATTTATATTACCCTTCATTTTTTTTATAAATTCATTAAGTGCACATTATAATAAATGGAAATTTAACATATAAGAGAAATTAAAAGTTCATAACCTTAACTGAATTGGCATAATGACTAGATGGGGATACTCTAGGAGGAGCATTTAAAGAATCAGAACCCTTCAAAATAACAAAACAAAATACATGAAATCTTGGCATAAGTAACATATATTTAGTAAAGAGTAAAACTAATAATAAATATACCTATCCACTACAATTTTATTGTTGCATATGCATTAGCATAGCCACCTGTTGTTGTAAATTTTCCAACTTGCCATCATAGTTGGCTCGTAAATTTTCCAACTTCTTGTCATAGTCGGCTTGCATTTTTGAAATGGTCTCCTGCAACTCTACACATGCAGCACGTGCCTCCTCATCAGATTTTTTGGCATTATTAATCAGTTCAGCTTTACTAGGAGAGGCCCCCAAACATCGCTTGGTGTAGGCCCCAAGCCAAGCATCCGCACACGACTAGTTCTCTCTTCTCCCCTCACAACGGAGAACAAATCATTGGAATTGCCAATAGGCGAGTCAGGGTAACTTTTTTGAAGTTCTTTTATGCTTTCCTGTAAAAAATAAAAATAAATAAAATAAATAAAAATAAATAATGAACGTATAGAAAATAAATTAGATAGAATGCTTCGTGTCCAACATTTGGGTGGCGGTATATCTAACTTTTAGAATGAAGGGAGATTCTGGAGTAATGTGAAAAAGCAACGGTGAAAAATGGACTCAATTTTTTAAATTTCTAGTCCAAATGCAAGAAATTGAGATTTTCCAGCTATATAAAAGGTTAAAGTCCAAAGTTAATTACTCCATTTTTACAAGACTAAGGATTTGGGCAACATAAATCTAGCTACTTGTCCAACCGTTAACATCATGAATTGTCATAAAGAGTCCAAGTTCCTATCATTTTTATGAAATTGAGACATGAAAGAGAATTTCCATAGCCAAATTCTCAATTAAATTTGAACACTAAGTTTAAATGAGAAAAGAAAATATGCTCAAATACTAATTAGCACAATAAACACCCCATAAAAGAAAAGGAAAGCGAAAAACAGTTGCAGCCACGAGTATCAAAAGTTGACATAAACATAAGTAGGTACAACAGTTACAAGCTCTGTAGGACATTAGTTTTACAAAGTATTTGATTATGGCTAATGCTTGTTTTTCTTTTTTTCTTTCTTTTTTTCTTTTTTTTTTTTTTGGTAAGGGATTATGGCTATTGCTTGCTACAAGTAGAAAATCAGAAAACAATTGACTTCTCATGAAACCAACTGATTTAGACACAATACATTCATAGACATTAGAAAGAATCAGCATGCCCAAGACCAGCAACTGGTCCAGCAACTATTTGATCACATTTTTAACAAATAACGAATTGGTCAAGTTGAAACCTTTGACGGACACTTATGGTGTTTTCATATCCCCAGTTATATTTTATAAGTTTTATTGCAAGGTTTCATTCACTAGACAGAACCTTAGAAACCCAACTAATAGCAACACAAATTTTCTAAGTACCATTTCACATGTTATATAAATAAAAGTAGAGTTTACTATAAGCAATTATTCATCTTTGTTTCCATATATCCAAATCACGCACTAAAAGGCAAACTCAAAGTTTGGTTCTTAGCTACCTGTAATTAAATATGAAGAGGTTAGTAAATAATGAATTTTCTGTTATCTATCATACATAAGCAAGCAAGTATTACTGTGTTAGCATGCAATGCCTATATATCTACATGTGTGTGTGTGTGTGTGCCTAATGGCTGAACGTAATAATTGAGTCCAATTTTTGTTAAAACTGATGAATAATATAGGTCTATCACATGGTACATCTTGGTTTTAGTCTTACTTTATTGTTTCTTTAACTATTTGTACTAGTTTTGATTTCTACCATTCAATGACTTTAACAAGGGCTAGAATGGATTCCAAGACAAAGTGTGATTGATTCAAAGCAGTGATATATTGGGTTGTAGACACACATAACAGTTGAATGGGAAGTGGAGAAAGCCAGATGTGAATAATAACTACCTCTTTTGTGCAAAACATAAGAATATGTTGCATAACCAAAAACTCTTATTCAGCTTAACTCAACAAAGCCTTATTTCTATTATTTGAAGTTGCCTACATTCAAAAGGCCTTTACACTGGTATGAGTAAGAAATTAACATAAACAACAAACAACAAATAGCAAATACTTCTCCTCCACAACACAAATCAATCAACAAGAAGCCTCCACATACAATGATCTCATACTCCCATGCTTTTCAACAAATACAAGAAAGTAAATTGCCTCCACACGAGCTGATGATAAACAATGAAATTAAAATGCCTCCACACGGGCCGATGATTTAAAAATTGGTCACTTCAAGGCATGTGACCCCCTAATACACCGCAAAGAGTTTAAAAATTGGTCACTTCAAGGCACGTGACCCCCTTTTTGCAAAATGGAAGCATAAAACTTAGAATTATCTCCGAAGCAGCAGCATCAGTAGCATTGCCATCCTTATTTATATGTGTGCGAATGAATTAATCTGCACAAGAAAACTGAATACCTTCGTTTTCCTCAATCTATAAAGAAACATAGACATTGTGATATATATTATTTACCACTAACATTTATAATCATTCAACGACATAAGAATTGAAATAATTTATATTACCAAAACTTCAACTAACCTCGGTAGAAACACGTGCAAAGCTTTTTGCCCCTGTAGTATGCATCATTGTCTGCTTCCCACGACATTCTTTGTTTTTTTTTCTGACCTCCTACAAAAAGTGAGAAAAAGTAAACATTCTTTCAGTAAAGAACATTCCACCTAAAATACTGACTGAAAGCAGGTAAACTATAAATTCAACTCATTAACTTTAAACAAAATTGGTAGATGGAGGATTACCTTCGCCATAAGCGTACCCCAATGCCTAACCAAAAATTCCCAATGCTCCTTTTCAACATCAGGTGGAGGGTTTGCCAATCTTTCTGCATCTGTATCCCTAACCGAGTAGTATTCAGTTTTTAATTCACACTTGTACCCCCTTCATTTTTTTTCGATGGAGGATAATGTCCACTGTTTTGACATGATTCCCAAATCATACTTTCCCTGAAAATGTGATAATTGCTATATGTTAATCCACTTTTTTCATAAAAATTATTTTAATGTCATTGAAGGGTTTTACCTTTACAATGTTCCACATATCCTCTTTAAGCCGTTTAGGCATCTCCCACCAAGTTTTGTAGCACAAAGGAGCTAATTTACCATTCCGGGCAAGTGTTCCCAAATAATTAGTATATGTACCACTTCCAAGGCCGATCGGTTGTCCATACTTATTAACCCTAAACAAAAATTAACAATTGTAGATGTTTAGTACAAAAATAAAGAAAGAAATCCTTTTTTCTCCTTCATTAATGAATATAGTCTATTTCTGTAAACTATATAAGAAGATCTCTATATATATGTACCTTAATGGTAATAAGGTTGTCGCGTTTACGATATTCTTGCATCGTGTCGGGCCCCGTCTCCTCTTCGGCGGTGGTTGGGATGATTTTGAAGTTGAAGCTTCGGTATTTTGTTCACTCACTTTTTCCACTTCTCTAACCGTTCGTTTCATTGTCAGCTTATTATTTATCCTTCCTGGAAAAGCAAACAAAAAAGTGAGAATTCATTTAAGAGAATGCAATCAAATTGTTAAAAAAACAGCGGTGCACAGTCCAAGTAAAACAAATAAAAAGAAATAACAAATACCTCAAAACTTTAGGGTATTTTTGGTTGTCAAATGGAAATTATATAAAACCATTCTGTTTTGGTAAAATCATTGATTGCACTTATACAATAATGTGCCAAGAATAGATAAAAACATATTAAAAATATATAAGCACACAAAAAAACTAAATTAGTGTTCATGGGAAGCATACATGTGCATGCTACAAAATATGATACTGCAGTATTATTGTCAAAGCTGCATATATATATACTGCAATATTAAAAAGCAGGAAAAGAAATCATCAATACCTTCAAAGAATAGTAGCCAATCAAATGCGAGTTATCCCCTTCTTGATTGCTAATGCGAAGGAAACCGGGACAAAGGTTCAATTATAGTGGTCACACTGTCAGCAATAGCAAGAACATAGCAAGCTCAGTGTCTTCTAGCATACAAAAACAGAATTTTGTGTTCAAGTAGAAGGCAAACAAGAGACCAAATGAGTCTTTGGTTCTTACTATTGTTATTTAGTTATAGTAGTAAAAGTCATCTTCAATGGAGTTTGTTATTATGTCACTATCCCATAACCGATCCACGAAATTTCATAGTTATGATAGGTTGATACCATTGGCCTCAACTTATGTCTATGTAAAATAAAAAATTAATAGTAAATGAATTTCTCTAGGATATTATGTGATGATTAACTGGAAGGCTTTGACTGTTGACCAGCAAGTAGGAACTCCAGACTTTCATTTTTGAACTTGGAAGATATGGAGGTTTACGCTTTATGGTGATAAAAAAAGAAGTCCATTCTACTAATTTCACTAATATTTAAGTTCAAGATTTTTATGACCCCATGTATCAACACTCATATTTAAATCATATACTTAAATAAATAAATAAATAAAACCTCATATAAGGATCATAATATAAATAAATAAATAACTAAAATGAACAACTTACATGTTGAAGCAACCCTGGCACTTCACATCCACAAAAATTATATTGTTGAAAGTCTGAAGAAACTCTACATAAGACAACCAAACATCAATAGTCTTGCAGAGAGAAACTAAAACAATCCTAACCAAAGTCTGAAGAAACGTATTATAAAAATTCTTATGTAAAGTAAAAGGTCTAATATATATATATATATACACACACACACATACACACACTAAGTACGAAAAATTTCGAACCAAAAATTCATTTCAAAAAAGAAAAAAAACATTAAAAAAAGAAATTTGCTTATGGATTGGAACTTACTCAGAAATTGCAGAGAGAAACTAAATTGTGTAAAATGAATGATTAGTGAGAAATAAAACAACGAACCACGAAGAAATTAAAATGAAACAAAGCGGTACCAGAGAGAGGCTTTAGCGAGAACGTTTTAGGAGGAAAATCTAGTGAGTAAGATCTCGAAATGACATAAATTAACAACTCTTGGAGATCGAGTAGCTGGTTAGAGATCGAGACAGAGGAGAGACGGCCTGAAGAGAAACCTAGGGCTTCAACTTTGTAATCTCAGATGAGATAATGCCGAAAGAGAGAAGGGTTAGCAAACATCAATCAAGGGCTTCAGCTGAGAAATGGAGATCGAGCAGTGAGAGATCGAGACAGGGTAGAGGGGTCTTGCAGCTGAGATGGAGATCGAGCAGTGAGAGATCAAGACAAAGCAGTGAGAGATTGAGATAGAGCGGGTTAGCAAACATCAATCAAGGGCTTCAGCTGAGAAATGGAGATCGAGCAGCAAAGAACGAGATAGAGTTATCTTAAATTAAAAGGCAAAATATTTTTCAGAGAGGGGAGTCTTGCAGCTAAGAGATCGAGATAGAGCAGAGAGGGGAGACGGATGAAGTAGGGCTAAATGAAATTGAAATGGGAAAGTGGAATGTTGTAGTGTTAATGGACCCAAAAAAAATGACGCAGTTTAGGCACCAAATATTCTAAATAAGCGGAGGGAAAAAGTGGAGGGAAGAGAAAAATTGGAGGGAAGGGGAAAAACGGGAAGGAATGGAAAGGCCATAACCCATGCTCTTAAAAAGAGCGTTGGTATTGTAACACCTATGCCAACGCTTTTTTGTAAAGCGCTAGTACAATTACACCTATACTAGTCCTCCCAAAAGAGCGCTGGTATTAGTTCACCTATACAAGCGTTCTTTAGAATGCTGGTAAAAGCTTAATCTATTGTAGTGCTCTGTGGACCATACCTATATAGTAATATATTGAACTATATATAATACTACTACCAAGTATCATTTATTGGGCTTTAACATCAATCCATTAAAATTTCACAAAGAGGCCCAGGCCATAGGTTGAAGTAAAATTAGGTTATTGGGCTTTAACTTCAATCCATGCTTCGCGGGGCTTGTAGTCGAACTCATTTATAGATCTAAATGGGGCTACAACCTATCTCAAATTGAGTTAATTCGAACTAATAACATCCGGACTAAGTTAATTAAGACCAATAATAGTCCTTTGTTGAGAGTAATTCAGGACACATAAATATATAAACAGACAATTGTGTTTAATTATTTATGATTACCTAGAAAAATATATTTGTAGATTATTAATTACTAGAAAAATATATTTGTAGATTATTAATTACGGAGCCAAATTCGGCTGCGTCTAGAACATGATTAATTGGGCTTTAACCCAATCCAGACCAACATCAACACCTAATTTCCAGCCTATTAATTTATTGGGTCGTTTTGGGTTTTGGATCTCAGGTAAATAGCTAAGCAAGTTTGTTAAAAAAGAGAATCACTCCTAATTAATTTTTTTTTTTAAATGAATCAATATAAAAATGCAGAAGAAATTGTACACAAATTATGTTTAGGAAATTATATAGATATGTAGCCTTGAAGTCCTCATTGCTTTATACCTTATTGTTAACATATGATGTGCAATTCCCCTTGTATTCTTAGTAATTTCTGGTTTTTCAGGCAATGTAGAAAAGTTCCTAATCATATAAGAAGGATTGCACACCATATGTTAGCTTTGTATCAATCTTTTAGTCTAACATTCACTGAAAACTTTTCTATAATCAATTTTCCTACATTAAAACTTCTAAAATGACTGAATTTAATTTTTAATGTAAGGTGTTTTTGTAAAATATCTGTCAACACTTATAAATAAGATAAGAGGGATGGATAATAATGTAAGCATCTAAAGACATGCAGCTAATGAATTGAGTAGTAATATATATTCAATTTTATGAACACTTGAATCAAATGATGTCAAAATAAATGAATTAGACAAGCTTACCTATCTCCTAAAACATGCCCCGCCAAATTTGCTACTTCTGTCAAAGCTTCCTTCCACTTCTTTATCTTGTTCATTCCTTGCTCTTTTCTTTCATTGGACTCGGACATAAATTTTTCTTCATGTTTTACAAATGCTTTTGTAAAACTTCCATTTCGCTTTCTAACATGGGACAGATTCACATGGTAGAACACGGGCACAATCATATAACCAACACTCTTCTTGTGCTCAAGGATCTTTAGAAGTTCATCAAGGCACCATGCTGAAGATGCATAGTCTTTTAAGAAGACAATTATTGAAATCCTAGACTCTTCAATTGCCTTTATCAATTCTGAGGAGATATCATCTCCTCTCACAAGTCCATCATCATCCCTAAATGTGTGTATTCCTGCATATAGCAGAGCTGTATAAAGGTGATTGGTAGAGGTTTTCCGAGTGTCTTCACCTCTGAAGCTCAAGAAAAGATGATAAGAACACCGAATTGAGGAAGGTTCTTGGGATCCCATAGCAGCCATTGAACAAAATCAAGGAGATGAATTAACAAGGTTATATGCAATCTGTACAAGCACAATAAGTAATTTGTTTAAGAATTCAATAAATAAATAAAGGAATAAACTATAGGCAAAATTGGTATTGAACTTCGTGGTGGAAATAAAGTAACAAAACGGTTTTTACACATTGATCAAAATTTGAAGGGCACAAGAGGTGGTGGGTTCGTTCTTCTTTTGGGATATTAACATTTTGACATTTATGCATTATATGAATCATTGATATATATTGTTTTGCTCGTTCCCAGTAACTTAAACTTTTGGAACAATTGGTTGTTTGACTTTGATCTTAGAAACTCCTGGGTAAATCAACCCAAGAAATGTGTAGATTTTATCAGAAAGATAAAATACAACATAGGTCATCTCAGTGAGAACGAAGAAATCAGACAGGAAACAAATAAAAATAAAAAATAATAATAATAATAAATAAATAAACATCACCCAGAAGCCAGTTTTATTCAGGCTATACTTCACTATGCGGTCTCAGCTGGATGCATACTCTCACACAACAAATTGAAACAAAAATAAATAGATGTGTAATTAACTTGTAATAATATTACACATCTTCAACATCATCATCTTCAATCTTCCCACCAATTAAACAATCAATCCTATGTGTATATGTGGGTATATATATTATTGGTTTTTCTTGACCTTAGATCTTTCAAAGCATATAAACAAAGATAAAATAGATAGGTAAAAGAATATATGATTGTTCAAAGCGTATAACATATGATTGTTCTCCTAGATACATTGGACAATTGGTTGATTCAAGATTTACTATTACATATATTAACTTTGTGGCTTCTCTTACACAACAAATTGAAATAGAAAGAAGACAGTACATACAAATAAATAAATAATAATAAATAAATGTGTAATGATATATTTGTAATAATTAACTTGTAATACTGAGCAATGGTGTTGCAAAGGTAAAAATTTACCTGTAATTCCGGAAGAAATTAAGATTCCTCCTCCCTTGATCAATTAATCAGTTGACAGACAGACTGTGAAAATGTTATGGTGATTGAAGAAAAGACGAGTGTGAGAGGGGCAGAGTGCAGTGAGACGATATAAATGAAGAAAATGGGAATGGGATCCACACAGTAAGCTTCCTTGTAATGGTCTTCACACTTTAACAAATCAATACAAATATCGAAGTTTATATTGACAACTACGGAGTACTATTTTACCCATCATACCTTGGAAATCAAAGTTTGCGTGCTGAATTTTATTTTATTATTTTTTGCCCCAGCCTTTTTCTTCTTTTCTTACCATCTTTCGTGGGAAAATGATATACCAGTATAATTAGATTTGGAGGTCCACCTATGAAGCACGGACACCGAACACGAATATGATATGACACGGATACAGCAATACAGCAATACGGCAAATTTCAAAAAAACAGGACACGAACACGGAAAGGATACGGTAATAAAATAATAATATAATTTATTATTATATAAAAGAAATTATTCTTTTCTCAAATTTTCATTTATATTCATAAATATAATCTATTTAAATTAGTTCCATCATACATCTTGTAATGACCCGGTCATTTCCTTCCTTTTTCTTTTTCCTCAGAATTTCACGGATGAATTTTTTTTCGTTGAAATTTCTTGTCTGAGTTCAGTTTCTCGTCGCTTAGTGTCATCTCGAGTGCTCGGAAATGGTTTTTGAGACTCTTTCCTTTGGATTGACAACTTCCTTTGAGGACCGAGTCATTTCCATATTTTTTATTTTTCGACACTATTCACTTTTCTTCCTTTTCCCTATTTTGTCATTTTCCCTATTTTGTCTTTTCCCCGTTTGTCACTTTGTTGGCGTAACCTCACTCCTTGTGTTCGGAGTTGGTTTTTGACTTCACGTGTCTTCATTCTAAGTGGTTTCCACGAAATATGTATCTTTACTTTTGTAAGAAAGTACTCTAGTTGCTCCCGGTGTCCATAAGGGTATGGATGCAAAGTTCTTTACAATTATTTTCTTTTCTTGGGGATTTTGTCGTAAATATATTTTGAAGATATTTTATTTCAGGGATTTTTAAAAAAATATTTTTGGAAGATATTTTCATTCTAGGGCATTAGTGCAATTAACCATTTTTAGAGGGGCCATTTTGTAATTAATGAAAGTTATTGTAAAATACTTCGTCTGGAGCCTGGATCCTCGTACGGGATTCCTTTTCACTTTTCGTCAACTCGTAAATTCTTGGAATTTCCTTCTGGTCATTTTTCTTCAATTTTAGGGTTTCTGGCCCCGGTTGCCGCCGAAATTGTTCGGGGCATATCTCTCTGCTCGGAACTTGGTGTTTCACGCAGTGTCTTCCGTTGTTCATATTTTCTCATTTTGAATCTTTTTTGTTCACAGAGTTTTGCCATTTGAGCGTGTTTGCTCAAATTCGACTTTTCCCGACTCGGCGGGGCCCGTTTGGGGCACTTTTTGAGATTTCTTTAAAAGGGGGGTGAAATATTTCATTTTTCATCTTCCCCACTCACCTTGCACGACTAGATCTCCCATGGCAGCCCAAGGGAGGCTGCCACCACCTCTCTCCTCTTTTGAACTTCATTCCTTTATTAAAAAGTTGAAGTGCCTTTACGTTTTGTATTCGTGTTGACTACGCGCACCATTACCCCTTATTAGAAACCATTTCTGACCAACTTTTGAGTTCGGAATTGAGGTCAAGTTTGGATTTTCATGGAGCTTCTTGAGGATTCATATAGATCGTGTTGTCCCCGACAAAACCTAGGAGTTTCGTCGGATTCGGAGCCGTTTCAATTCGGTGGGGATTTGGGATTTACATCTCAAATTGAGATAGGGGATGTTTTAAGGTTATATTAATGTTGTATTGATTGTTAAATGAGCATATACAACTTGTGAGCATGCCTTGTTCAAGTTATAGAATTTTATTCAATTATTTTCTTTGTTTAAGATTTTATTCTCATGATGCTAGGCAACTTGGAATTAAATTGTGGCATGCTAGAAATTTAGGCCATGGTATAGTGGTTGATATATATTAAATTGGGGTTATTTGAATAAGAATTGCAAATTTTATTTAATATTTATCTTTTGTGAAAGTTAATTCACCTAGTTGTATCAAGCATGGAATCAACTTGTAATGTGATATTAAAGTAGGTCTTGGTGAGTTCTTTAACATATATTAAATTGAGGACATTTGGATATATTTGAAAATCTAGAGAAAAATTAATTAATGAGCTTAATTAATTTTATTTTAAGTGTGTTGGTCACTTAAATTGATATTGGAGGTAATAGGTTATTAATCCCTTGAAACATAGTCCGTTTAATCACCTTGTGAGCATATTACAAATTTGATGTAGAATTAGTACTTGAGGCATCTTGAAATGGTAATTGGACTTAGCATGATATATAATATAATTGACTTACAAAGCTTGTTTAGATATATCTTGTGTGGGTGTATAACTTGTAAGAATATTACAATTATTTACCTTGGAAGCTAGTTACTAAATTGGGACTTATTTAGTACTTGTGGTTTAGTGTGGTAATGTGGTTCAATTGTTGTAAAATATTCTCGTTTTGGTGTATAAATTGCATATTGGAGGCTTGACATGTCATATGCTATCTAGACTTGAATTCTAGGACATGATTTGTGTAGATTCAACCTTATTTGTGATTGGAAGATGGCTTTATGCATTAGTGGATTTGGAATAAGTTTGGTCTAACTTATTGATTTTTATATAAGTTTTGGACTTATTGATTTTGGAAAGCTTGTAAGGACATATTTCACGTGATGGCTAGGGTTTGGCTCTAGTACGGAGACAAGAGTCTTCTAAGTCATAAGTGCGCACTAGGTAGTACCTTGTGGGTCGTAATTGCCCGGAATAACTTATGCATGTTTGCACTAGGTAGTGCCTTGTGGGTCGTACTTACCCAGAAACACTTGCTTGGTCTAGTGACCATATGTCCTAGTCTTTCTACTTTGATTTCGCATTCAATTTCAAGTTGTTAATCATGGATTACTTGTAGCTTGAGAATTAATGCTTGCTTTGGATATTTGAATCTTACTTAGTATACTTAAAACTATATACTTGTTTTATGCATTTAGATCTCATATAGTGTACTTGAACTTGTATGCTTGCTCTGTAAGTTTAGATTTTATTTAGTATGCTTGTGCCATGTATACTTGTTTTAGGCGTATCTCTTTTAGCTTAGTATACTTGTGTTCGTATACTTGATTTACGATATTTTCATATAAAATGCTTACTTGTGTAAATATGCTTAGACATTGCATGACTTGTCTTAATGTGGTTTAGTATACTTGGAAATGTATGCTTGTATGTTGTATAACGTGTTTAACATTGTTTAGTATACTTGAGCATGTACACTTGTATGCCGTTGTTCACTTTAAATTGCATGAGTAGCTTAGGATGCTCCCCGAGTCTCATTTTGATATAGACGTTAGGTGGCATGAGCCCCTTTGACATGTTTCACCTTAAGGTGATATAATTATAAAATGCAAGGTCGATGCATGCTCATCACCAACGAGTAGCTTTATGTTTCTCACCCACGTAGTGGGGACATTTTTCAGGTACCGGGATCAAGATTTGGGATCACATCATGCTTGGATGATTTGTAGACTTGAAGTTCTCATTTCATGTAAATGTTGGCTTGGAATGCCATTTATAGCTTTATATGTCAAAATGTGTAAATTTAATTTTATTTTTGTAATGTGTACATAAGTACACTCTTTACAATGTATTTGACATATATGAGATGAGGCCATAGGCCAATGACATCTAATTTGTATCATATATAACTTTTAACTTCATGAAATATTATGAAAATATTGAAATACGCCAAGTCATTGTCTCACCATGGTTGCATCGGGTATTAGAATTCCGTTTCATTCTTTCATAGGGTCTTGTAAATCATGTTTGAAGTGTGGCCAAGGGCCAAACGGTCATTTGACCCCGTTTTGTATTTTTGGATTCCGA